CCCGGGAGGGTGATGCCACCCACCCTCCCACCGGCCACTGCTGGCCGCGCTCGCCAGCGGTGATCAAAGGGTGCGGCCGCCATCCGGCGTCGGCGGAGGGAGGACGAGGCGGGGATGGACGACTCGGGACCCGGAGGCGTGGGCGCTGTCGTGCTGCTGGAAGGCGAGGAGGGCGCTGAGGGTGGGCACGTCGGCCGACACGCCGCCGCCTTCGACGGAACGGTGTCCTTGTTGTGGCTGTTGCTGGTGCTGGTGCTGGTGCTGGTGTTGCTGGTGCGCGACCGAGCCGGGGCGGCGGATGGCGGCGCTGCCGCCGTGGTGGAGTAAGCGCGGGGAAAGGGGGATGTCGATGGCAGTTGTGCCAGTGGTGGTGGTGGTGGTGGTGGTTGACGAGTGGTTCGTCGGGTTGTTGCCGTCCTGTTGTGTGACCATAGGTGTCTCGTCGTCATCTTCGACGGGCTCGCTCCCTTCGCCGGGGGTGTTGGTGTCCGGGTTGTTCCTCCCCTGACGCGGTTGATTTTGAGGCTGGTAATCGATAATCGAGTTCTCGCTAAGCCGGGAGGGAATGGCCGGAGTGTGCGGTGTATGAGGGGAGAGGGGTTTGCCGGGGGAAGATGAAACGGACATGGACGCGGGGTTGACCATGCTGGGGACGTTGGTTAGTTGCCGGCTTGAGGAGCTCGATGAGCGTTGTAGATGGATCGAAGACGTCATAGAATCCGTGAGGACGTTGTTGGTCTCGCGCATCTGTTGGAACTTGGAAAGCTGGGCGGCGGTGCGCTTGGAGGCCAGAGACTCGCCCTTCTTGTTCGGCTCGAAGCTCTTCAGCGTTTTCCGGCTGTCGAGGGCTTTCAAAAAATCTGAGATGTTGTCATCATCGGCGAAGGATCCCGAACTCGTGACCGCGCCGGCCTCGGTGAGAAGACCTGAACCTGGCTGGACAGAGGAAGAAAGGCTTTGCTTCCCGCTGCTAGCTTGGTCGTCGTCAGCCTTGCTCTGTCCGCCGAAAGATGGCCTATTCCGGCGATGCGTGAAGCTGCTGCTGTAGCGGCCGGTGGGCCTCGGCGATCCCGAGGCCGAGGGCACTTCTTGAGGTGCGGTAGGGGCGCCGCGTAATGAAGCCGCCGACCCCATGGTGAGCGACGAGCGGTTTCCGGTGCGCGACGGCCCGGCAAGAGTCGGCCGATTCAGCGAATGAGGCGACGAAGGGGCGTCTAAATCCGCGATTCGCGGGGACCCGGATAGCGAGCCGGCCTTGAACGGCTGGAAGGACACCGACGGCCGACGGCCGCTCCCATCGTAGGGTCGCGACATGGGACGGGCCGGGGTGCCACGGATGGGTAATGAATGTGGCGGGTCCGGCTGTTCGATGCTCCCCGATATTGACCCAGAGGGGGAGCTGGTGTCGGAGCCGATAGGGCGGACGGACCTCAGTGCGGTGATCGGGCTGGTCCCCAAAGCCCCTGCTCCGTGAAAGGTTGACAAACTGCCGTACGTTTGCTGCGGGCCTTGAGGTCCGCGGTCCTGTCGATGCGCTGGCAACGAGCCTGGCTCTGCATATGAGTCGGATCTTCCATGCCCTCTCCTTTGCGGTAACGACGGCCGGAAATAGTTCTCGTCGACTCCCATGAGCTGGGAGCTGAGCAGCGACTCAGCGTCGTCGACCCGGAAGTTGAAGTCATTCCGGTAGGTTACTGAGGCGTAGAAGCGCCCTACAGGTACCTCCATGTCTGAGAAAACGTATTCTGTAACGGCATCTTTCCCGTCGTGAAGGGGCTGTCGCAAGGGGTCATAAGTGGTATACTCGGGCTCGGCGCTCAGGATTCTGCATTTGACCTCCAGCGCTGGGTGGATCCCTTTTGTTACCGCTGAGGGGAAATTCTTCCAGCAGGGCAAGATGCGCGACATTATGAATAGCGATCTGAAAAAGACGATGCTTCTCTTGTAAACGGTCGGCAGAGTGGGACCGAACTCGTCTGTTACGGCATCCTGCGGGCATTTGAGCTCAAGCCTCCACCGCTCTAGGATAACCTCGGTATTACGCTTCCGAGCATGGCGTTGTCTAGGGCTATCGTCGGACGTCTCTGACAAGTTCAACGCCTCCAACACATCCCACCTCTTTCCATGCTCGTCAATGACAACTAGGCTTTGGTTGCTCGATAACCGGGAGGCGTCGATGTAGGTCTCGATGATCATGGGCGGAGGGCGGTTTTCGAAGCTACCAGACTGCTTGTATACACGGAGTTCGTCTCGGAAGTCTTCGATCTCGCTGGTTTCGAGCGAGAACTGGGATATTGTCAGCACCTCCTGCGCCGTTACCCTTCCGCCTGGACTCCTGCTTACCCAAAGGTTCGGTTTCGCCTCGGCTGGCCTTCTTCCTCCGACGGGCGTTGTGTCGATTCGCGACGATACAATGACCACGGCCGCTTTGGTGTAGAAGTTCTGGCAACAATCAGCCCAACATCCTAAAAGCCGGTCCCCCCATCTTTCGTGCGCACCTGGATGATCTGGTCCAGCTTCTTGATCGAGTCCCTGCTCGGTATTGAGCTATAGCTCTCGGTGCTCTCTGGCCTATCATCCGTCCCCGCTGTGTCCGAGTCGGCGCGGACTCGATCCCTGGGGTTGTTCGTCCGTGTGGGGTTTGTCTGGGGCGAGGATGCGGGGGACGAGACCCTCGGGGGATGGCGAGATTGCTGATGCATCTCGGCGGCTAAGAATGCAGATGGGGGGTGGTTCGGTAGGGCTTCACATCGGTACCCAGACGGCGGGACGAGTCACCGACTGCCGTGTCGAATTGATGGTATGTGGAGGTTGTATGTACACCCGTAGGCTCGAGGTTGGAAGCTCGAAAGTCGACAGCGGCAAGGTAGGTAGGTAGGTAGGTATTCGTAGATAGGTAGGTAGGTAAGTAGTAGGTAAGGTAGGTACCAAGCAGAGTTGGACGTTGTTCAGGTGTGTCACTTAAGGCGAGAGGGCTCGATCGAGATAAGCGAGACCTTCGCATCCATCGTTCTAAATGGCGGCGGCTTTGAGAAGATGGGTATCAAGAAAATGACGGGGAAGAGAAAGAATGGGTGTGGACCAGCACCTCAAGGCAGAATTCTATGCGGGCCTCGAAACAACAATAGGTACAGAAGAATAGAAAGGTCGGAGGTCCGACAGCTGGTTGGCGGTGACGGGCTACGGGAAGGCAGACAAGCCGAACAACAAGCACACACGGAGGGTGACGGCGGCTCAGGGGGGCTCCAATGGATGTGCAGGGGTTCAGTGGCTTGTGTCCGGGCTCTGTGCGAGGATGTCTTGGGCTGTGAATGGTGGAGTGATGCCTTGAGCCTCGAGGCATCGATGTCCTCGACAAGTACAACAAGAATAGGAACAGTTTGTGACGCAAAAAAATGAAGATGGGATGCGACGAGACAATGCAGTTGTACAATACTCAACCATTCCCTGGCTGTTATCTAGGGAGCGATGTCGGAACACGGCAGTGCCGCTTTGATGTTGGGTGCCCGTTGGATGGATGACCTGGTGATGGGGAAGTGATAGAGATAAGACCGCTAGGTGTGGAGAGGGCCAAGACTGTGAACCTCAAGAGTCACGCCCCCGAAACTGTACGTAAGCGAACCCCGTGGACAAGGGCACAAAGTGGTACAGCCGGCTGCCCCTGTCTTGTGTCCACTTTCACCCTCTAAATATGGGGCCTCAGCCGCCGGCCAAGTGCCGGGCAGCCGCTCCGACAGCGACAACAGCCCGTGAACAGCCAAAGTGGAGAAAGCGGACACCCTCCCTGCTCCTGCTCTGTGCACGTCAATCACCGAGACAAACACCTCGTGCTCTTTGCCTCATCTTCCGTCATTCAGACTGACTCTGTGCGTTGATGGGGCCACCAAAAATGATGATGATGATGATGCAATGATTCACCAAAGCAACGAGAGACAGAGCCTTTGGCGGAATGTGAATCTTAGGTGGCTTGATCTGTCGTCACTGTTAGTTACCTAGGTCGTTACCGAACTACGGGCCTGGCACCTTCAAGTTTGCGTCTACCTAACCATGGATGTGCAGCGTAGATCCGTTGCCATCCTGAAAATGACCCAGAGACGGACCAAGTCATCAAGGTGTCGCTTCCGTGGAAAAACACAGCCTGGGGCCCTGGATGCAGGATGTGCAGAAGCAGCAATGCGACCAATGCAGCAAAGCAGCCAATGCAACGAGATGCAGCCTGGCTTATATGGAATGGTTGGTAAGTACTTCGCACAAGGCAGCCGACCGTATGTACACTTCCATTGTCCCTTTGGTGTTGTGTGAATCGACAACTACATCTAATCAACGGCCCCCTGAGAGGGAAAAAAAAACCGGCAAAAAGAAACAAAGCAAGAAAAATGTATGACAAGTTTTACCCGGATTATTGTCGCGTTTTTCGGATGAAATTCTCACGGATGATTGCAGAAGGCGACTTATGATGCAGTTCATCGACCTCGTCTCCCCGTTTGCCCTCTCGGATCAGATAACCATGGCCACGCAAGGCAACCACAGCGTGTGGTTGGTCAACATGATCGGCCGCTCGACAAACAAGGCAAGCCGCAGCGCAGCCAATCCTGAAGTGTGCGAGTGTGTGTCTGCCTCCCTCTTGCGAGAGCGGTCCGACCGAATCAGACAACTGAGAAGAGAGAGAGTCGACGAACCGAAAAAGGAACCGCACTGATGTATGTATGTCTGCATGGACATACATATTAAGCAACGAACAGACAACCAATGTGAGTCCGCCTGATCGGCTGCAGATAGCCGTCCGAGTCCGATATATGAGGCTGTCTGCATCTCATTCCCGCAGTTGCTCTTCCACTCGATGCGCCAACACGTGGACTCGTGGAGCTTGCAGATTACGGATCCCTCCCCGCTGTCGGGGCAGACACAAGATCGGGTAACCTGGCAAAGTCGTGGCCTACAGGCAGCAGATATTCACACGAAGCCACCATGTGGCGATCTCTCAGGCGGCCACATCAAACCCACTTGGGAGGTATCCATGACTCAAAAAGTGTGGTGCTGATGTTTCGATTACATGTACTAAATGCATCGATCTTATGTGGATAACTCGCTCGCCGGAATATACAGACAACAGCAAACGAGCCTCCAACTCCAATCCCTAGCGGGTATCATCAAACTGCCATGTCCCGCTTAGTCTATCGCCGCTACCTCCCATCAAAACATAACAACACAACATGTCCATATACAGTACACTCACTTCACGATTACTTGCCCTCACCGGCAATGCCCTCCGGCCTCCCTCCCGCTTTGCCCCTGCCACCTCTCTCACCACCACCACCCCGCCCCTTGCCATTACCTCTCCCCTTGCTACCACTCTCTCAAACTAACGGTTCCAGTCCCGCCACCCCCACTCCCGCCACCATTCCCTTGCGCACTGTCAACGCCCCCCCGCCCACCTC